AGTCACCTCTGGGCTGCTCCAGCCAGGCGAGATGGAGCACGCGGAAAATCCACCGTGGTGCTGCAACTCGGGGTTAGAAAAACGTTGAGTGTGAAGCAGCCTTTGACGTTTTGCTTCTGACAGAGGGAGGGCTGCACCTGGTGCGTGTGTTCGTCCTTTCGGTGCACGTGCTCGTTCGTGTTAAATAATCTTATTCTGGATCCTTGTGTTAACTTCTCAAGCCTGGCTTCATCTAAACTCTGCTTCGTTGACGGTGGTTTCTCAGAGGTTTCCACTGAACTCTGGCCCTTGGATAGATAAAAAAAAAATCACAGAGTTCCTCTCCTGTGGAATTTTTGTCAGGTTTTCTGAGAAACCTGAAGGTGCTGAGCAGCCTTGATAGACTCAAGAAGGGGAACGTGGTCACCTAGTTCTTGTTCTAACCTCACTTGCTGAAATAACCCCAAGTACCCTGTCTCCGGAGTCAGCAACTTTTCAGCATTTCTCTCCTGGTTTCTGTGCTGGGTTTATGAAAGCAGGAGATGATACAAGCCTCTGTAATGTGAGTGCTGAGTATGCCATTTATGGCAACGAGGAGAAAAACAGTGCATCTAGTTCTAGTTTACAGCTCCAGCATGAGCACTGCTGGGGGGAGCCGACTCCAGTCTCGCTTATCCTCATTTTACACCGGGTTTGCAGGCTACTAAGGCCAGATTTGTACAGAATTCTTGAATCCTCCTGTCTCCCCCTGGTCAGTCCCCTCGGGAAACAACACAGAAGGGGTGTGAGGGTCAGTGACACGGTGCATGTCTGGGCCATGTCCTAGAGCTTCGGGCTGGGCAGGGACTGGAGGAGCGTGTTGGAGCAGGATGATGTTCAGCAGCAAACTGTGCTGCGTGTCAGGCTCCTCCAGTCCTGTCTTATTCCTCCTCCCCGCTGGAGATTCGCCACCAGAGAGTGAATTTCGCCCCATTTCAACCCAAATGCTGCTCGGTGAGTTGACTTTGATCCGCTAGCGAGGACAAGAGGGCTGTATGCAAAGTGAACTCCATTCCTCCAGGCTGAATAACGTGTCTGTTCTGTTCCTGAGTCAAGCTGTAAACAGTAATTGGTCCTAAACGAGTTGGTGATGTGACTGTTCACAATGCGCCCAGCCAGGCTCCTCGGCTGGTGCAGGTTTACCAGCATCCCCCATGTCCTGTGGGCGCTGCGGGCCGTGCTCTCGCATCCCGTGCTGGCTGATCTCGGAGAGCTCAAAGCTCTGCAGTCACAGGGAAACACCATCCATCCCCGTCTGCCTTCCCGAGCCTTAGTCTCAGCTTTTTTTCCAGCAGTTTTCCAGCTGGAGTGGCTCAGACAGATGCAGGCGAGACACTGTAAGAACGTGCAATAAGATGATGGCAGCAGGACAAACAGAATACAAATCCCCGTGTCTGGATGGTTTTTAGCCCTGCTTGTAACTGCATTAGACCTGCCAGCGTGACACTTGGTACTCCTCGGCCAGAGATCTCAAAGCACTTTACAAAAGAAGCTGAATCGGGTTTTGTCCCCATTTTAAAATCTGAGACTAAAGGCAGCAGTAGACAAAAGAAGTTTTTGGAGGTTGTCCTGCAGGCCGCTGGCAAAGGCAGGGACAGGATCCAGGTCTCCTGTACCCGCCTGCCCCTGTAAACTGAATTTTTTTAGGGGAGTGATGAATCTTCTTTGTGTTGCACAGCTGTGGGTGAGTCCACATCCTCCGCACTGGGTAAGGCCAGTCCTCAGGGGCCGGAGCTTGCTTCGCTCTGCAGTGTGGGGCTTTCCTCGAGCAACAGCTTGTGTGAAGGGGGAAAACCAGTGTTGGTGTGGGACAGGAGGGCCTGGAGCTATCAAAGAGGAGTCAGGCTGCTTATCCCCATCTTCCACTTCCAGCTGGAGAGTGGAGGGAAGCCTGCCTTGGCTGTCACCCCTGTGAGGAAGCGGTGGTGCGGACACAGCCCTCGGGAAGCTGCTTCCCCACCACATCCTGGGCTGGAGAGAGTCACAGACCCCCCCCAAAGCCTGGAAGGTGCTGCTGTCCCCCCCACATGATGTACCTGCCTGCAGCTGGTTCATCCGTGCAGCTGTTTGAACTGAAGGTGTGTCTCCAGCTGCAGGAATGTGACTGTCATGACAGTCGGTCATGCTGATGCTGTCAGCTGTTCCCAAGTGGTTGTAACTCAAGTTTCCCCCTAAAAATACAGAATCCCAGACTCATCTGGGTTGGAAAAGCCCCTGAAGCTCCTCCAGCCCAACCATGACCCTCACTCTGACCCTTCCCAACTCCCCCAGACCCCTCAGCGCTGGCTCAGCCCGACTCTTCAACCCCCCCCAGGGATCCCGGGGACTCCCCCCTGCCCTGGGCAGCCCATTCCAACGCCCAACAGCCCCTTCTGCACAGAAATCCTTCCTCAGAGCCAGCCTGACCCTGCCCTGGGCAGCTTGAGGCCATTCCCTCGGGGCCTGGCGCTGGGGCCTTGGCTCCAGAGACTCATCCCCCCTCTCTGCCCCCTCCTGGCAGGGAGTTGCCGAGGGCCAGGAGGTCTCCCCTCAGCCTCCTCTTCTCCAGACTGAACCCCCCCAGTTCCCCCAGCCGCTCCCCAGCAGACCTGTGCTCCAGACCCTGCCCCAGCTCCGTTGCCCTT